CACATGCATATAGGTGCAGCAAGAAGCCCGCTTACTATTTGCAGCAATCACTAATCCTGGGAGCCAAGAAGCATAGCCGGCCAGTTCCCTATGCTGTGTCTTCCTCAGCCACGGAGCTTACACATCTCTAAAGAGTTGTTTGGAAATGGTTTCTCCAAATCCCACCCCCAAGAGTCAGTGTGGTTCCAACTTTATGCTTCCATACTTATGTGAACGCAAGTAAAAAATCCGTATCTGTTTCTGTCAAAGTGGCTTATGGTAGGTACACAGGGATTTTGACTCTTCCTTCACCCTACTTGGGGGTATGCGTAGTTTTATCTGTTCGTACCCTAACACCCTGGTGTATATCATCACTCAGCAATGAGCAAATTGCAGTTGATTCCTTTTAAACTGTCACTATCCTAGACTATTTTAGAAAGACCCGGAGCATTCCCCATTGCTTTATAAAATATCTGAGAAAGTCTGGTTGAAGGCGTGAGAGACAGAGTCACTGTCTGTTCCTGTTCCCCTTGAGTCAGTCCTAGCGACAACTAATTCTCTTACTTCTGCTGTTTGTCTGATTGTTTTAAATGCACAGATTTTGTACATCTGTTAAGGAGCTGGTGCGGCCTTAAATTGAAGTTAGATTTTCATCGGTCTCTGTAAGGGAAGACTTCATAATGAATTGTTCAGATTTGTGTTGGAGGGAAATAGTTCCAAACTAAAGGAGACAGCAGATCAAAGAGGGAAGTAAACGGGGGACTTGGCACAAGCAGGGCCAGGTCCCCAGCCCTTTTGTGGACTCTGCCCCTGGGGTGGGACTGTGAGGGCAGGAGGTTGAACAGGCCTAATCCTGTGTGCAGCCCCGTGGCCTCAGGCACGTCAGGAGGCACGGTGACATCTCAGTATTACAGCCTTTTTCTCCTCTAACTTTTCTGTCAGCTTTAGTTGGTTTATTTTCTCACTTAAAAAAAATTTATGTGACACAAGATTAAATGGAAGTTTTTACATTCTTTCCATTTCTGTTGTATATAGGTAATTCTCATTCAAAATGAGATTTGTTCCCTTTTATTGTGTCATTTGTAATTCAGTTCTAGAACAAAGAAATGACAACTTAATACTGAAAAATGAAAACATGTAAGTCAGTTTTAATATTAATGCTTGCCTCTCTTTAAAAAAAAAAGCAGAAAATTTGAAGAGGGAAATTTAGCAATTAGAGGGTTAGAAACTAATTTTGGTGATTTGATGAGTGAAAAAATTCACCAAAGGTATTGTATGGAATGGTGTTATGTGATGTAAGCGTCAGTACAAGAAGCAGCAAGTGTCTGTCTAAGCCTCCGTAGCTGTGCAGCATCACAGTTTAGTTTGAAATTTTGTGTATCTTGGTGTCTGTTCTTTCAGATCACTACCTATATTCGGTTAGATTTTTTTCATGTTCATACATATATTTATAGAGAGAGAGAGAGATAAGCCTTTTTAAAGTTTTGGATCCACAGATAACTAGTGCTAACTGGTTTTTACAAATGCATTTAAACTATATAAATTACCAAATTTATCATGGGGAACAATGTATGAGAGAAAACTTAGTCTCTAAAAGAAGGCACTGCGTCTAAGACCAGTTCTGGTTCTTGTTTATTTTTTAAAATGTTTTTGTTTTTGAGTAGTTAATACATTCATATGACTCAGAATTTAAAAGGTACAGTGGGATACACTTTGAAAACTTTTTCCCCCAGCTACTCATTTCTCTTTCTAGGAGGCAACCAATGTCTTAATCTCTAAGCCATTCTGAATTTGATAAACTTAGGTAAATTTTGACATATTTGTGATCAACGGTTACTGAATATTTTATGTCCTGTTTATGTTACTTGGCATGATTTTATTACCTAATCTTGTTGCTTGATTAAGAGCATCTAGTTGTTTCTACTTAACTATTTCCTTATTGGGCATTTAAATGTTTTTCTGTTTAATTTTGTTGCTTCTTAAAATAGCAAACATTAGCATATTTGTAAAATTAGTGATATTTTTTCATTGAAAAGTTACCATATTTTTATTTCACAAGTTAACACTCCTGAAATTCTGTATATTCAATCATTGTATTTGCTGTAAGTAGTGTTTTTTTCCCTCTGAAAAGCTCTTATTAAATTAATGATATCACTTACAATCAGTAGAATCTGAAAATAGAGGAGAAATGATATTTTCCTGTATTTTTCTTAGAGGGGAAACATTCAGTTAAGGATGTGATAACATAATCCTTGTTCTATGTAACTAGATTTCTTACCAGAATGACTGAAATAATTGCAAATTTTATTCTCCCTTCCCCCACCCCTACTTTAATATGTATGAGATAGTGGTTAGAGTTTAAAAAAGGACAGTGCCTATTTGCCATGTATATTTCCCTTTAAGTGTTATAAAATACCCAAAGTTGTAGATAAATTAAATAACAATGTTTATTTTTTTCTAAAATTATTTAGTGTTTCTGGATAGTATTTGCCTTCATATTCCTAGGCCTACCATAGAGTTTAAAAAAATGTATATTAATATTTAAAGCAGATACAGATTATGCAATTGCTAGAAGTTTTCCTCCTTCAAATATAGCAGAGGACGTAGGTGTGAAACAAACCCAGAGATGTGTGCCTTGCTGTAGTGTCATTGTTTCATTGTTTCCACTCTCACTTGATGTATATGACATATGATATGCTATGATTATTATATATAAATTCAGTGTTGTGGTTGTGTTCACTTGATTGTTGGGACTTAGTATGTGTGCTGGGTAAAAAGGCATCAAAGCATACAACAGTCAGTATTTATGTTTTAAAATGTGGTCATTTCCTTCTCTTAATCATACGGTTTTAATAGAAAACCTCTTACGTGTACACTCAGAAAGAAATTTGAAGAGTTGTTAAAGGAGTACAAATCTCAATAAACTGACTATTGTTTCCAAAAGGGCCCGTGAGAGAAGGAGGGAGGAGGGAACTGTGGGGTGTGGGAATGCTGGTTGGGATACTCCCGCTCTGCGGGATGTTATAATTTACTGGTGATTAAAACATGAAAGAACTTTGTATTTGTTTAAATATAATGTCCACATTTAATGAGTGGCACCCAGGGGTTGACATCATCTGGCAGTGGCAAGTTTTGGGGATTATAATCAAAATTTGTGCTTGTATTCTTTTGTTAAATCTGCTTTAGAATATAAAGCGCATTTTCCCAAAGAGAGTCTGCGCAACCGTTATTGAAACAAGAGATCTCAGGGAAGTAGTAGACTTTTTCAATTGGTTTGGTCTTTAATACTAGCTACAGGAGCAATTACTTGGATTATCATTTTAACATAATTTTTCACCCAGCAATCCTTTTGAAAGTATTGTTTGCTCAGATTGAAACATTGAAATGCTTCCTCCTGCTTGCAGTGCAACAGATTAAAAGAGACAGAAACACAGGCACATCAACATGTAAAATTGGGTCAGTCTCATTTGGGGCCCTGTGTGTCAGTGGTCTGGAGTTGGGAGTTGTAGGAAATCCAGAGGGAGATGGCCAATTGCTGCACCTCCATGCTTGGTGGATGAAAAGAGGATCAGGGCCCTAGGCAGTTCAGGACAATAGACTTCCCACGAAGACGAAAGGGATCTGTGTCTGCGCTGGCAGCTGTGGATGTTGACAGGAGTAAGGGGTCAGGATTGCAACAGGAGTGGTTGGGGGTTTCTAGCCCCAGGTCAGTTAGGAGAGTGGGCTGGGACTTGCTGCCCCTTGGAAGGAGGCCTGGGGGAGCTGTGGGTTTTACAAAAATGAACAGGAATGTGAGTGTAGGCAGAGTATTGAAGTGGCATTGAATGCTGCACATGAGTTTTATGGGCATTGTTTATGATCTTTCTATACCTGTGGCACACATTTCCTGTTTCACGGGTGACATGCTATTGCCGTGAAGTTATGATTGTATAATATAATGATGATTATGTGACTGGTTATGATTATATAATGTAAAGAGCTACAGGTGAGATGAAGATGTGCAAATGAGATTTTTTTCGCTTCATGAATGGAGATAAATATATATATTTATGTTTTAAAAAATTTATTTTTATATATTTTTATATATCGATGTACACACACATATACATACACACATTTTTTTCTTTCTTACAAAAACCAAGCAAGGAGTTAGAGTTGGTAGCAGTTTTAAACGTTCTTTTTTTTTTTCCTTGTACTGGTTAACAGATTTCAGATGCAGATACACTCTCATTATCCAAATTCAAATCTCTGTCACTCACCACTGGAGAGTGTGGAGTACGGCTTTGATTTGTCCATGTGGTACTCGTGGTAACTAGATGTTCCATTTCCCAGCTCTGCCTTGAAGAGTTTTTCTGCTTTTGTCTTGAAATGATACTGAAATTATCTTTCTAAATTCCCTCCTTTTGTGTGGGTGTAGCTGTGTATCCGTCTCAGAGTTTGCTCGGGATAACACGTTTTAGATTTGAACCAGAGGAGACTGTTCCCTCAGACTTAAGGCCCCTCTCTGGGACAGAGCTGTGTTAATTGCTCTGCAGTCCGAGGAAGCAGAAGCAGGTGGCTGAGCTAGAGAAGGCTTACCAAAAAGAGGAAAGAAACCAGTGTGATCCGAGTTCTAGCCCTAGATTTTAAAAGATACCAACCAGCCTTCTACTCTCTCTCTCTCTCTTTCACTGGGGAGCCCCACACTGCCACCTCTGGCTTCACTTTTGTTTTCCAAGTGAGTTTATTAGTTTTGCCATTTTGGATATGGCTGAGTTGACCCTGGAAAGACTGGTCTGAGAAGCACTCTTGACATTTCGAATAGAAACAAACCCAGACATAGATTGGCTTGAGACAGAGTTTAGGACCATCCCTGTGAGCCCCTCTAGCATCGGCCAAGCCAAAGTGTCAGACTCATTCCCCCATGAAGAGGGAGACGTAAAGTGGTACAATGTGGAGGCTTTTCTGGATTTTTCTTGGTTACATGGCTGGTCGGGCTCTGACTTGGAAATCTGCTTCTGTGTCTCCTCCCTTGCCTGCAGGCTGGCGGCTCTCAGGTCATCTTTACTAACCCCCTGGAGATAGTCAAGATTCGTCTGCAGGTAGCTGGAGAGATCACCACAGGCCCCAGGGTCAGTGCCCTGAACGTGCTCCGGGACCTGGGCCTTTTTGGCCTGTATAAGGTGAGTGGATTCCCTCGGGTTGTCTCAGTAGGGAGGTTGTAATGTACTCAATGGAAATATGAAAGAATGCAGAAACCAGACTTCTGTCCCCAAATGGAAAAGCAATCTTGTCCAGCAGCGTAGACCCTGGAGTAGAAAATCAAACAAAAAGAAGAAATCAGGACCCTTCCATTAGAGGGGGTGTGATATGCAAACACGCTCCCCTGTGGTCCTCTCCAGGCTTTTGTGAAGCTGCCAGCAAGGGAGGCCAGCACCGCAGGCCTGCTGGCTTCAGGCTCACAGCCTTTTATTTGATGGCAGGTTTGGGAAAAGTTTCATTAGTGTTCTCTTTGGGCTGGTTTAGGACTTCAGAGTAGGCTTATGTTTATTTTGAGTCTGAGTTATCTCTATTGTTATCTTCCCAGTAGGAGCTTCTCTTTGTCTTAATAATTTGACCACAGTGAAACAGTAGTCGAGTTTGGTAGGATTCAGGTCTTTAAGAAGTTAAGTGGTGGGATTTGTCAATAATGAATTCCATTAAAAAACCCAGAGTGTACTGTACTTTAGCAAAATGCCAGTCAATGGATCCCTTCCCTGCAGGTATGCTTACTGCCATCATTACAGATCAGATGTAATGGAGCAGAAGCTATTACTTTTCTTAAACAAGGGAGAGTATTTCTTTCCATTCTTTTGTGTGGTATAAGGGGGGAATATGTAAATTTAGCTGCTAGAGACAACTGTGATTCCATAGCATCTGATTTATTTATAGATCTGTCCCTGTAGAAATGTGGAAATTGGCTTCTGTAGCTGAAAATCAGAAATCCTCTAGATTAGCATCACCCAGCTACAGGTCTCTTGGGAGAGCAATAACCCATGATACCTATCTTGGGAGAGCAATAACCCGTGATACCCATCTTGGGAGAGCAATAACCCATGATACCCATCTTGGGAGAGCAATAACCCATGATACCTATCTTGGGAGAGTTTTGTATACATTCCCTTGCCTCCAGCCCCAGTTTCCGTCCTTTCCGTATTCCCTTTGAGAGCTGAATTTATTAATATTGTTTCTCTCTGTATCATCCTCCAGAGAGTCCCTGGAATTTTTTTTTTTTTTAATGTTTGAGTTTATCTTTTAAAAGCAGAGTCATTAGGGAAACAAATGCCAAAGATGGTGTATTCGCCTGACTCAGTGAAGCCCTGGGCAGTGGAGTGGCGTGGGCTCCTGAGCAGCTGAGGAAGGTGTTCACAGTGGCCTCAGGCACTGGGACAGACTGTCCTGGGGTGGTTTTCTGCTCCCATGGGAACATCCTGCTAAGATGTTTTGTCTGGTCCCCCTAGTCCTCCCAGTGTAGGCTTTGGGGAATGAGGAGGGGAGACTGGTGGCTTCTTTCTACCCTTCCCTGGAGAAGTCGTCTCCTTTTCCATTGCCCCTGCTGATGGCTTCTGACCAGGCACTTCAGGGGCTCTGAGCTGATGTAGATTGAATTGGTGATTTGTTCATTTTTGGGGGCTGCCTTTGCTGGTTGCTTTGGAATCAAGCTATTAATCTTGGGTTTCTAAGTCTATTCCCACCCACACGTCCTCCCCTCACACCCACCAAAGCCAAACAGCATTCACAGCCTAGCGGTTTGAGAACTGAATTTTTATTAGCCCTAAAAACTGAATCTATACTGGAAATACTAGAAAATTGTTAGTTGTCAGAATAGCATCATTACCCAGTTAACCAAGTCTAGGACTCCAGGATCCACCAGCCTTTCTCAGACCTGGAGCCATGTGTATTTCCCTGTTCTCCCCACTTCCCTTCCCTATCAGTCCCGATGCTGTTTGAAGGACACCCCAGGCATGTCACCCTGGATTCCTCGTGGGCATTCACACCCTGTTTACACAACCGTTCTGTACTGTTTCCTCCCTGTGCGACAGGGTGCCAAAGCGTGTTTCCTCCGAGACATTCCCTTCTCTGCAATCTACTTTCCTGTTTATGCTCATTGCAAACTACTTCTGGCTGATGAAAACGGACATGTGGGTGGTTTAAACCTCCTTGCAGCTGGAGCCATCGCAGGTAATTATAATTTTTTCTTTCTAAACCAAAAGAATCCTCCCCCCATTCTCTTTAAGAAGTACAGAATCTCAACGTACTTTCCCCCTTTATTTCTGGAAGGGTTATTGTTTGTATTTGACTTAGTTTAAATATGATCACTTTTTCTCCTTTGTGGAATGTGCTGTAATTCTGATGAGAGTTAATTACATTTGCATAATGTGGATAAACAGCTTAATGCAGCTTAGCAACTCGGAGCCAAATTAGATCTGCCCATCTAAATTGGGCTTTCATCATTAACGTGTTTCTTAGCCTTCTGCACCCCTGAAGCCTTGAGTGCAGCCAAGCTAAGCATTAAGGTGGAAAAGTTCTTCATCACGTCAGTTGCTTTGTTGTACCTCATGCTGATGCACAGAACTAGCATGCCTTCACTTTCGATTTCTGTATATTGGAACCTACTTGATTTAGCTCAAAATTGAGCTTTCTTCATGAAAAGAAGCTCTGTTCCTTCTACCCTCATCTTCATTAGACCGTGTAAGTGATACTTGCCCGGCAAACCACCCAGTACTTGGTTGGCATCTCTTCTCTGTCCCTTAGTTCTTTCTGTCTTTTATTCATGGTAGTTTGCATAAGTTTTATCCTCTGTACTAGACTGGGAGCTTCTTGAGGGCAGGGCTTTCATTCTCCTCATCCTTGCCTTCCCTACATGGCCAGCATAGTGATAATAGGAACTCAATAAATGTCAGTGGAACAGAGTAAGCCCTTCATCTGGTTTAAGACACCACATTAGGCACAGAAGAGCTTCCATGGGACAGGGGAACCTAACAAATGCAGCAGTTTGCTAAGATGCTTCCTTCTGATCTCATGTGTCTAGCCTTCCTCTTGAGTTGTGAAAGAGCTGACTTGGGATAGAAGGGAAGGGCCAGGCGTCCTTGCTGCACCAGCACTCAGAAATGACAGAGCAAGGGAAGGGCACGTGTTCTCTCTCCATTACAGCTGGTCAGGATAGAAATGTGAAGGGTGAGCACAAACCCACACGCTGTCCCCAAGTGCTCAGTGTAGCTCTGACCCCTTGGGCTCATGGTACTGTGTAGCTCTCACTGGGTTCCTTCTCCTCTGGTGCCCTGACTAGACACAGCAGGACATCCTGAGGACTTCCTCACGTGTGCGGTGTGGCGGGAGCCTGAGGATGCTGGGTGACCCATGTAGTTGTTCTCACCCATGATGACAAGGCATGACTTGTGATTAAGAAACTCTCCTGGGGAGCTTCAAGCCCTTATTTGGGGTCCTGCAAATCCCTTGTCATCGGGCATTTGTATCTTCAGTCAGTTGCACATTTGAAATCCAATAAATCTACCTCTCAGTCTTGGCAGTGAGCGCTCGTCCAGCCCCTTTCTGGTACTCACCAAAGTCTCCCAGTTTCAAAGGGGAGCCAGCACGTTTTCCCTCCAGTCTTTGCTCTGTGCTTCCCAACCAGCAACAAAAAAGAGCCAAAGAGAAGTCTAATTGTGGACAGGCATTTTGCCAATGGTTGACAGAACCAAGTAAACATTTCCATGGACCTGTCAGCACCAACTTCTTGCCCACGGACATTTGATGTCAGTTGTCAGAACGAGAGATGAATTTTTCTAATTTTTACCAGTAGAACTTTGCTGGCAGGTACTGAGAACATTCAGAATGCAGAACATTCCAAAGGCAGGTTTACCTAGTTTCATCTGAATAAGGCGCCGGGCTGTGCAGGGAGGAGGTGCTTGCCTCATTCTTTAACAGACACCCCCCGCCCCCGCCCCGGTCTGCCAGCTCCATCTGCCTAGTGATGGTTCAGCGATAGTCAGGCCAAATTGAATTTCTTCCCCGTAAGGAAGGTTAGCTTGCTTCTGTGGTCCCTGTTTTGTGTTATACGTAAAAGGTGTGGCTGTGAAATCCATCTTGTGTGTCCTGCTGCTGGTCAGTCTCAACAGGACCCCAGAGAGCTTGGGCACAGGGCTGGGTTGACAAGGCCTTTTGATGATCAGTTCTCCTCTTGCTCCTTAACTGGTTGCCTGGCCTCCTCTGCTCCAGTTATGTTGACTTCTGTCATGTAGGCATGTTTGGAAGGAGTCACAGTCCGTTCTCTAGTTAGCCTCTCAAGCAGGTGAGTATTGATAGTCACCTTGCACAGTAAGGTGACAAGAATCAGCGAAAAAACTGCGACATTTTGGTGTCAGATGCATTTGGCAGCTCGTTAAATTGACATTATCCTTATTTCTTATTATCCATGAAAATGTTTGCATCTTGTTTAAGAAAAAAAAGTAGGTAAAGCGGCCAGCGTGCTGGCATAGTGGTTAAGTTCACATGCTCCGCTTTGGCGGCTCTGGGTTTGCTGGTTTGGATCCTGGCCGTGGGCCTAGCACCACTCATCAAGCCATCCTGAGGCAGCGTGCCACATATAAAGTAGAGGAAGATGGGCACAGATGTTAGCTCAGGGCCAGTCTTCCTCAGCAAAAAGAGAAGGTTTGGCAGTAGATGTTAGCTCAGGGCTAATCTTCAAAAAAAAAAAAAAAAAAAAAAAGAAGTAAAATCATTGAAACCTAAGGGGGAACACATGGGAATTGTCCTAGTAATATCGCTGCACTTCTTTCCTCTCACCGTTCTAGGGGATCATGCAATGTGAGTGATTTTCCTAATTCAGAAAGAAAAAAGAATTTTGCCCTGACCACACTGAAGCAGCTAACAGGCTTTTATATCTTTGTTTCCATTAGTGCCCAGTATCTATTTAAGAAGCTCTGAGTTCAGCAAAGTTGCTAACTATATTGTTAGACGTTAGCAGTATTTCTATCCTTATAAGGTACTTTGGGTTAATTAAATGTGCCTTTCTCCTGAAAGGTGTGCCTGCTGCTTCTCTGGTGACCCCTGCTGATGTCATCAAGACAAGACTGCAAGTGGCTGCCCGTGCCGGCCAGACGACATACAGCGGTGTCATTGACTGTTTCTGGAAGATACTCCGGGAAGAGGGGCCTTCAGCATTTTGGAAAGGGGCTGCAGGTAGGGAGGGGAGCCATCCGGAATGGCCGGCTGGCGTTAGGGTCCTGCTCCCATTAATGACTGCTGGTCTTTGCCACAGTCGTCCTGGTGTTGAGTGCCCCCACTCCTATCTCTGTTTTTCAGCTCGAGTGTTTCGATCCTCTCCCCAGTTTGGTGTTACCTTGGTCACCTACGAACTTCTCCAGCGGTGGTTTTACATTGATTTTGGAGGCCTGTAAGTGCAGCTCTTCACTTCCTTTATAAAGAAAGCACCAAAACCAAAACAAGTCTTTGTTTAGCCTACAGAGGCATTTTGGGAACTCTCAGACACTGATAGGACTGAGAATCCTGCAGGACCAATGCATTTAAAACAAACAGCGGGCTTGAGAAGCCTCAGTGTTAGTGGAGTAAGCCCTTGACAGGGCAACACCGTACGCAGTATTAAGCAGCTACTTAGGGAAATCTTCGGGAGGCAGCAAGTTAAAATGTTATGTGCATAATTGTCTGTTTTAGTGTAAGCAAATACTGAGCTTCATGATTTTGGTCCTTACCATTTGGATTTTATTATATGACCTTTTCACCACAAGTAATGTAAACTTGTGTTAGTAACACTTTTGTGAACTTTCTTTCAGACACTCAAGCCCTTTCACACCTCAGATTTCATTATTCACCATAATTTATTATTAGGTATAAATGTTCTTAGAGCGAATTTATTGCCCCCAAAAAAGGTTCAAAGAGAGGTTATACCCATGGACATAATCACTGGTGAGATCGAGGCCAGAAATTGGGCCTCGTGAAGCATGGTACTTGATGCTTGTGCTGGGGAGAAGGGGCATTGTTGAGTTTTCTGGGTGGGAAAGGTTGTACCCAAAGCAAGCAATGATCAGCTTTTCAGGAGAAAATCAAATCCTGTATCTGAGTCTTCATGTCATAAACCTGTGAACCCGTTTCCTGCTCAAAGGCCAAGTAGCAAATTTCCTGTTGAACCGAGATGTAGAAGGACTTAAAAGACAGTTAGAACAGCAATCTTACAAAGCCAAGCTTTTCCGTGCTTTCACATTTTATAAAAGTAAGAATTATATCTATTTTTCTTTAAATAATTTTAGTAATATCCTTTATGAGTCTGTCTACTCTTCAAAAAGTTAGGTTTTAAAATTATGTCAAAGTAAAAGAAAAATATAAACTTCTTATGATTAATTTATGCTTAGTGCAGAAAATTTGGAAAACAGAAAAGTGTAAGAGAAAATCATCCGTAATCCTACTTCCCAGAGAGTGTTAATATTTGAGTGTATTTTCTTATCTTTTCTCTGTGGATCCATTTATATATATATAAGCATTGAAATTGAGGCCATTTCTCTGCTAATTCAAATACGTGAATGTGTTGCCTTCAAAGCAGCTGTAAATCATGACGAGTGCAGCATAGACGACAAGGAAATAGTTGGAGACTCTTCTTTCTGGCACATGAGTTAGGCTAAAAATGTTCAGTTGTCTGCCGCCCGCATCAGTCTGGAGCACGTTAACCACTGGCTTTTTCCCACCAACAGCAAACCCTCTGGCTCAGAACCAACACCCAAGTCACGCATTGCAGGCCTTCCTCCCGCCAATCCTGATCACATCGGTGGATACAGACTCGCCACAGCCACTTTTGCTGGCATTGAAAACAAGTTTGGCCTTTATCTCCCCAAATTTAAATCTCCTAGTGTTGCTGTGGTTCAGCCAAAGGTGGCCGCAGCGGCTCAGTGATGAGAAGACCGTTGAGTGTGGCAAAATGGCTCCCTGAAGAGAGAGGCCTGGGAGAGCAGCCCCGTAATGTATCCCGTCAGCTGCATGGTGCTGACTGAGCTGAGGAGTCAAACTATTCTTTCTATGTGACATATACATATATTTGTTTATAAAGTAACCATTTGCCCAGGAAAAAAAACAACGCAGTTTCAAGCTTTAGTCTCATGTGTTGAAATGTTTTCTGAGCCTTGGCATGAATTAGTGTTCTAGACTGCTTTGCACAGCTTGCACTTATAGTGACTGTACATATTGTACATCTTTGTACAGAAACATCTTGGCACCTCATCCCCCAAAATCACATTTATAGAATGTAATGCAGTTCTGAGTGGCTTGAAATGTACAGAATGTTTTGAAAGTGTTTTATTAAGAATCACACGAAAATAAATGTATTAAAATTAAATTCATTCTTTTATTGGTGACTTATGGAAATAAACCATCAATATTGGATGCATTTAATTGCTAGCTTGTTTTCCATTCTGGAATAAAAAGGTATTTGCTGATAAGAGGCATAACGAGGCCAAGTACTGACACCACTGAGTAAGAGGTCCTCTGGAAAAGATGCATGCCGGTGGATGCCAGAGGACCCGGCTGACGACTTGCAGGTGCTGATGTGCTTCCGTTTGGATTAACTGTGTGTAGATTTCCTCTGTTCGTCAGTCCCAAGGCATTTCCTCGACAGCTCCTCCGCCGTCAGTGTGCGTATGCAAACAGGGACGTCTCCCACATTACTGGCTGAGTTTTGCCTTCTTCTCACACAGCAAGGCAAGGGCCTAGCTTTCAAAAGAGTAAAGGATACTTTGGTAATTTTCCTTCATATGGATACAATTCCAATCAAAAATAAAACGCACACCAAAATGTACGCATGGAGTTGGATTTCCTTCATAAATATATTGATAGCACTTTTTATTTTGATTCACCACTGATTCCAAATAATTCCCGATCAGGTTTCCTCTCTCCCACATTTTCAGGAAATGGACAGTGTGATTTGGAGAGGGCTATGGTAGAGTGAGAGTAGGGAAGAAGAAAGAGAAAAGCTCTAGCTTGTGATTTAGTGTGGTCTAGGTTCTTCCTCATGAATCCAAATACAAACTACTTATTCCAAAAGTCACTCACCAAGTGTGTGATTACTAATTCAGATCTAAACATGCATCTTGACAGCCACATCTACACTTTGCTATGGTTGTGATTTGATGTGTAGCATCAGAATTTATTTACTTCAGCAAAGTGCTTTGGGGAAACATTATTGCTATTGCCAATGAGCCGGGATATGAGAACATATGCAAATATTTTCAAGGTGCGAGGCTGGAGATGGACCAAGTCACTTAGTATCCTGCACAGCGCTCTTCAGTTGATGGCTGACAGCCCTGTAACACCGCTATAGGCTCTCTTGGGGCCCTCCGGGAACAAAGGAATTAGCTTCAAAAGCAAGTTATTTCCAAATGTATTCATTTGTTCTCATTGGAATGGAATAAATAGCAATATAGTTGTTTTGCTGTTACCACCTGTTAAAAATCTGCAAGTAGTCCATGGGTATGTTCTTACAGAAGATTCATATAATAAATGTATGTAGAGGGAGATGTGAAAGTGCCCTCTTTACCCTGCTTCTCCTTTCGCCACTCCCTGTCCGAGAGGTAATCACTGCTGAGGCTAGAGAATAAATTGTAGTCTGTTTTTCATAATCTGTATGTATAAATATATGTATGTGGTTAGGTTTTAAAAACAGGATTATGCTATGTGTGTGTTGTTCTGTGACTTGCTTTTGTTCACTTACTGTCTTTGGCATCTTTCCATGTCAATTCATGGGTTTATCTTAATTTTTAATAGCTGCATAGTATTCCATTGTATGAATTATGATACATTTCATAAATACTCCCTTATGACATACTCATTTTTTTCCACTATTGCAAGCAATGCTGTAGTGAACGGTAAACATCTTTGCACACATACTTTGAGTACATGTACTAGTATTTCACTAGGATAGGTATTTAAAATTGGAATTGATAATTCACAGGGTATATGGGGTTTTTTAATATATATTGGCAGATTTTTCTTCAAAAAAGCTTTACTAATTTACTTTCTGACTGACAGCAGATGAGAATGCCTATTTTTTTGCAACCTCAGGAAAAATAGACATTATCAGTCTTTTACATTTTAGGCAAATCATGATAGGTGATGACTGTTGTTTTAATTTTCATTTTCCTAATTACTTGTGAGGTTGAGTGTTTTTTCATATTTATTGGCCATTTGTATATTTTCTTATCATTGTGAAAAATACATGAAACACATATGTATGTATGTATACACAGACACACACTCATGCACATATATATTTTAAACAAATAGTCATAAAGTGAGCACCCATTTAACTACCCCTCATCTTCATTTTGCTTTTTTAAATAGTTTTACCACCCAAATATACATCCCTAAACACAATATTTAGTTCCTGTTTTTGAAATGTATATGAATCGAATGATATTGTATACTTTTAAGACTTTTCTTTTGCTAAACATTATGTTCATAAGATTCATGCATATAACAGTATGTAGCTATAGTTCAATTATTCCATTGTATGAACATATTACAGTTTATTTTTCCATTTTATTCCGGACAGCTGGGTTGTTTCTAATTTAGGGATATTACAAACAGTGCCGCTCTGGACATTTTGTACTCATATTTTGGAGTATGCATTTTTAAAAGGATATATACCTAAGAGCAGAACCACAGAGGCACAGGGTATGGTAGATTCAACTTTGCCAGCTCATGCCAGACTGGTTCCCAGAGATGCCTGTACTGATTTGCATTCCCCCAAGGGTGAATTGGCTTTTTAATTTTTACCAATCTCTTGGGTGTATAATGTTATCTCATTGTGATTTTAATTAGCATTTTCCTTACATCACATGAGGCTGAACACCTTTCATAGGTTCATTATATTGCCACATTGTTGTTCAAAAAGACTTAAGTAATTTACTTTCCTACTGACAGCAAATGAGAATGCCAATATGTTTATTGGCTATTTGGATTTCATCTTTGGTGAGTGAAATATGTGTTAAAGTCTTTTGTCTGTTTTTCTCAATAATCTGCAGAGGCTTCTTTATATGTTTGGGATACTACTCCCTTATGAGTTGTGTTGTACAGTCTTTTCCCAATTTTTGGCTTGTCTTTTCACAATGTTTTCAATATATTAGCATTTTCATTTTAATATGTTCAAATATATCAATTTTGCCCTTATGGTTAGCATGTTTTATATTTCATTTAAAAAAATTATTCTCTCTCTAGGTCATGAAGATAATGCTGTACAGTTTTACCTCTCATATTGAGGTTTCATCCTGTTTGTCTTGGGCATGGTAGGAGGGAATCTTTTTTGCTTCTTTATATGGTTAGTCTGTTCGTCCAGCACTGTTTATTGAAAAGACCTTTCTTTCCCTACTGCTTTGAAGTGCCTTCTCTGTTCTATATTTAGGTTGATATATACAAAGATCTATTTCTGGAGTTTTTATTTTATTTATTGATCTTTTCCTGTGCTAATTATAACCTCTTCAGTGCTCTATCTTTTAAAAAAGTTTTGATATATAGTCTATCAAGTCCTTTCACCTTATTGTTAGTCTTCAAGAGCTTGTGACTCTTCTTGGTCCTTTGCTCTTCCCTGTCCATTTTAGAAATAGCTTGTCAATTTCCTCCCCAAAAATAAACAAACAAACCAAACACACTGAGATTTTTTTTTTAAAGATCTCATGTTTATTTGCATGTTTTTTTTTTAAGATTTTATTTTTCCTTTTTCTCCCCAAAGCCTCCCGGTACATAGTTGCATATTTTAGTTGTGGGTCCTTCTAGTTGTGGCATGTGGGACGCCACCTCAGCATGGCCTGATGAGCAGTGCCATGTCCGCGCCCAGGATCCGAACCGGCGAAACCCTGAGACACTGAAGTGGAGTGCGCAAACATCACCACTCGGCCACGGGGCCGGCCCCCAAACACACTGAGATTTTTTTTTTTATTGAGTTTATGATAGTTTACAATCTTGTGAAATTTCAGCTGTACATTATTGTTTGTCAGTCATATTGTAGGTGCACCCCTTCACCCTTTGCGCCCACCTGCCACCCCCCCTTTCCTCTGGTAGCCACTAATCTGTTCTCTTTGTCCACATGTTTAAATTCCTCACATGAGTGGAGTCATACAGAGATTGTCCTTCTCTATCTGGCTTATTTCACTTAACATAATTCCCTCAAGGTCCATTCATATTGTTGTGAATGGGATGATTTTATTCTTTTTTATGGCTGAGTAGTATTCCATTGTGTATATATATACACCATATCTTCTTTATCCAATCCTCTGTTGATGGGCACTTAGGTTGCTTCCACGTCTTGGCTATTGTAAATAATGCTTCAATGAACATAGGGGTGCATGGGTCTTTTGGAATTGCTGATTTCAAGTTCTTTGGATAGAAACCCAGTAGTAGGATAGCTGGATCATATGGTATTTCTATTTTTACTTTATTGAGAAATCTCCATACTGTTTTCCGTAGTGACTGCACTAGTTTGCCCTCCCACCAGCAGTGTATGAGGGATCCTTTTTCTCCACAACCTCTCCAACACTTGTTACTTTTTGTTTTGATTATTTTTGCCATTCTAATGGGTATAAGGTGATATCTTAGTGTGGTTTTGATTTGTATTTCCCTGATGATCAGTGATGATGAACATCTTTTCATGTGCCTATTGGCCATCCGTATGTCTTCTTTGGAGAAATGTCTGTTCATGTCTCCTGCCCATTTTTTGATTGGGTTGTTTGATTTTTTGTTGTTGAGTTGTGTGAGTTCTTTATATATTATGAAGATTTGCTCTTTGTCGGATATATGACTTGCAAATAATTTTTCCCAATTAGTGGGTTGTTTTCTTGTTTCAATCCTGTTTTCCCTTGCCTTGAAGAAGCTCTTTAGTTTGATGGGGCCCCATTTGTTTATTCTTTCTATTGTTTCCCTTGTCTGAGAAGACATGGTGTCTGAAAAGATCCTTTTAATACTGATGTCAAAGAGTGCACTGCCTACATTTTCCTCTAGAAGCCTTATGGTTTCAGGTCTTACCTTTAGGTCTTTGATCCATTTAGAGTTTATTTTTGTGAATGGTGAAAAAAAGGGTCAATTTTCATTCTTTTACATATGGCTCTCCAGTTTTCCCAGCACCATTTGTTGAAAAGACTTTTCTTTTCTCCATTGTATGCCCTCAGCTCCTTTGTCGAAGATTAGCTGTCCATAGATGTGTGATTTTATTTCTGGGCTTTCAATTCTGTTCCACTGATCTGTGCACGTGTTTTTGTACCAGTACCATGCTGTTTTAATTACTGTAGCTTTGTGGTATGTTTTGAAGTCAGGGATTGTGATGCTTCCAGCTTTGTTCTTTTTTCTCAGGATTGCTTTAGCAACTCGGGGTCTTTTGTTGCCCCATATGAATTTTAGGAT